CCGTACCTTACGGTCGTTCCCGATGAACAATTCTTCAGCCATCACCATGGGGCCTGGTTCCACCCCACCTTGCTCCCCCCCTCGAACAAAGTAGAGTGATCCCAAGGTATCCATCCACATCCCCCATCGTTCAGATCCTTGTACCCATGCCTATCCTGGCAACCTGGTTCGCGCCACCGTCGTTCATCGCTGAACTGCCACTGATACCTACGCCTCTGGGGGGGTCTCTGCTAGTCCCGCACCAGAATGTGATATGTGCCATGTTCTGCACTGTACCGGTCTACCGGCCTGTTTGGTTTCTTTTGCTGCTTGCTACTTTTCTGCTGGCGGCCTTCCGCCGGTTGCTCGCCGATTTGATTATTATCAGATGGCACTGCCATATTTTCTTCTTGCACTAGTAACCAGAACAGGGACTTGGAACACCCGCTCCCGCCTGGAGCGAAGTCTCCCTCGCTGTGCCGACCTGGTCCTTGCCCGTCTCGACGGCCCAGCTAGCGAGTGCTTTGTCCTTGTCGTGCGATTTCAAAGGAATCTGCCAAACTATAAGTATCGACGGTTGCCGCCTGGAGTTCTCTCGCCTTGTCCAGATCACCATCATCGGACATTTTACAGGTTCAAAGGAACATCAGCTTGACGCAGCCAAACTTCAACATCCATCAACAACACATCGACTTCGAGTCCAACCCCAACCAACCAAACCCCACCACACCTTTTCGAATCCAAATCCCACGAACCAGAACCACAGTCAACCAACCAAGTTCGCCATCACATCTCGCCAACATGGTCTGCTCAAACCACTGCCAGGTCGACAAGACCGCTTTCCGAAACCAACAGAAGCCATCGTCGTCCTCCAAGAGCGGCTCGAAACAGGTGAGTGTGCATGGCTGCACCCCACGTCCACACAGGGCCCGAACTAACTCTCTTTTCTCAGCACCTTCTCCCAGGCATTCGCTGCCCTACGTGCCATGCCTCAGGTAAAGAGGTGTGGGTACTACCCGGAAAAGAGTGCGGCTACTGCGGCACCCCCTGCGGCTAAGACAGCTCATGTGAGTTCTCCAACTTCTTCCCGCGTCATTGCAAAGATGTGGCGGTGAGGCTGACTCTTGTACAGCGCTGAAATCCCCCGATCAAGAGTCATATAGCTGGGACTGCGATGCGATATTGGGAACCACTAAAACAATTACGATACCCCGGGACAACGGCGAACGGCGACACACAAGGGCTATAGATTGAGGGGTTGTGTGCGAGCAAGAATGAGATGACCAAAGGGGGTTGTGCTTGTTCGAGTACGAGGAATTCTTTTCATCCTCTTTTTTTTCTTCCGTCATTTTTTGGGTTGATTGGAGGGAATGGGAAAAAAGGGGGCAGATCAAAATCGATGGGTGGGCCAATCTGGGTACTGGCCCTGTAATGTTAACGAGCCATGTCTGTCCGATTTTCAGATCGGAATGTACAGTCGGAGGGGTAGAATGGGCGGGAGATGGGTGAGCAGAGGGGTAAGAACAACATGGGCAAACCAACTGGCGCTTGGGCTTGGGCCTGGAGGGGGAGTTTGGAAATGTAATGGTAGCCGCTTTCGGCATACTTGCTTCAATCAGACACCATACAGGTTCTTTATTCGTTTTCGCAAACTTGTTTGAACCTTGACTGTTTCGAATCGGAATTGATGTCAGAGGTATGGATACGACGACGGGACTCGAGTGGTGTGTACCTTTGTGCAGGTTCCACCCTCGATCTTGGGACCAAGAACGGAGTATTCAGATGCAGGCAGACGACACCTGTATGGACCGGAGCACATCGCATGGCCCCGATCGCGACAGTGCCGGACGGGACGCGGGTTGTGGCTTGCTCGGAGATAACACCGGGGGTGTGGTATTGGCTGGTGCTGAGCCCGTTTTTGCGACGAATGGGCACAGCAATGCCTGTCGTTGCATGGGGGAAAACCCGATCCCCTGATGTGTGTATCGCTCAAGATCGAGGTGGTATCGCAGTTGGAAAGGGGAAAGAGACGATGAGTCGAAAAGCAAAGAGGTGCTTTGGCACTGGATATCAAGTGCGGATTAAGGTAGCAGTCTCTCTGAAGAGAGTATCGCGTTGGATGGAAACCTGGCAGGTGATGGCGATTCTAATGACCATATTCAGCATAAGGTTGCGAGCTGCATCTTGTGCAGGCCTTGGAGTGATGACAAGTCGTTTCTGGATTGCGGCGCGGGGCTTCGTAGCTGTGTCTGTAGCTGCGGACCGACGGGCTATAACGGGGATGGGAGGTCGGCGTGGAGGACGGAAACAGCGGTGATGCATGGCGGACCTCGGGCTTGCGTGGGTTCAGGTGGTTGTGTTGCGATCAGGTCCCCTATCAGCCCAATCGGTCCCGATCCCACGGTTCCACTGACACACACAGCTGTAAGGTAGCTTGGAGTTGCCAGCTGGATCAGACTCGTTACACCAAACGGCGTGCAGGACGCACGAGTGGACGTCCTGCAATACTCGACAGGGAGTTCAGAGGCCTGTCAAAAAGCAGGGCCGGCATCCAGGAAGGTGCATTCCAGCTGAGATCCAGGTCCATGTCCCTAGCTTCGTAGCGTCCCAGCACGTCTTGCTCTCAGGAATGACTTTGGGCGACATGGCAAGAATCAGAGAGTGTGGGTTGCCGGGTCTCTGACAGATCGTGACGGATCGTGAGGGGTCCTGAGAAGCCGCCTTGCGGGAGATGCCAGTGCCCGGGTTGGCAAGGGAAAGATGAGAATTGTATGGGCGGTCATGTCTCTCATCGTAAGACATGCAAAACCGTCATAAGTGACAGCACGGGTGGTCCTGGCCCAGATGTCATGGATTTGCCGCGCGGTTAGGATTCCCTCCAGGTTGGATAGCGCCAGGCTGTGCGAAGATCGAATCGGTATACTGAATCGCAGCGATGAGTAGAGTAAGGTATTGGTTGGACGCATGATATGACGAGACAGGGTATGTCTGCAAGCGCTGGTGATTTGTTCAGGGGTCGGCAAGCTGAGTTGGACGAGGAAAAGGAGGAAAGGAAGGGTAGCTACTACACCGGTGTGAAGAGACGATGCTTGGCAGTGTTCACCGTTAGTTTCGGAGGGACGTCAAGCTTCAGCACTGTGAAGTTCTATTGCAAAGAGGATGAAGGAGTGGAAAAGTGACAGAAGAAATGGCGGCCAGAGCTGGTGAAAGAAAGGGAAGAAAAAGCAAGGATGGATTGAGGCTACGTTGGGTTGAGAAGTTGAGAATTGACAACTTCCTCGATGGCACCTGCTGTCTGTTGTGTCAACTGCCTGATTGGCTCGCGTCTCGAATGCGCTCCTCCCTCACTTTCCGATCTGAAGCACTGGTCCCCACCTGCCTGCCTCACTCTCAATCGCAACTTCTTCATTCATTCTTCAAGTGAGTTGTGAATTGTGAGCAGGATTCATTCACGTGAGCTGTCGAAACTGGGTGGATAGGAAGTACGGAGTACGGGAATCCGCTCCTTCTATCCGTACCTGAGAATCAAATTGCCTGCCAGCGGGCCATGGGGAAATCACGCACGACAGAGAGCCCCGACACAATTTGAAGTCAGAATACCTCAAGGAACAATGACAATTCGCACTTAGATGTGACCCAGGACCCAGGACCCAGGACCCAGGACCCAGACTAATATCTCATTTACCCCCCCCCCCCCAAAATCACCTTTATTTATGGCAACGGAGTGCATCTCCTCCAGGGTCCTGCTGTATCTTAATCAGATATGCAAACCTTATCGTTCCGGTCCGCAACCGGACACTCTGGACGGGACAGTACCTGTGGATCTATGGGTCCTCTCTGTGATAATCTTAGCATTCACTGTCAAACAGGAGAACCCAAGACTCAGAATGGGTTTCAGTCATGGAAAGTTCTTGACCCGAAGAAAAGCAATAGAGGACAGATGACCAGCAGGAGCAAGTCATCAATCCGGGCCACCCATCTCACGTAAATGTCATCATCATCACTACCGGTCTACTCTTACTAAAGTGTAGTGAGGGTGGGAGTCGTCAATAGACCGTTGTGGAGCTAGTACTTGACCTATCCTAGTGCTCTAGGATGTCGTCGCTCCCTAAAGGTTGTCATTGCGGATCGTTTTGGTTGAGTTTGTCCCTATCAAAGGAATTGTTTCTTCTTGAACTTGGTCCGCCATGATGACATTTAGTCTTCGATGCCCAGCAATGCAGCAGAGACGTCAATCGGAGGGCTTTCAGTTCCATTATTCTCAGAGAGTCCCAGGTATTTGTTCTCGAATTGTTCCTTATTCCTGTCTCAACCGCCTCGTATTCATGAACAAGGCTTGTCGACCCCACAAGGAAGAAACAGCCATGGGCCGACTCGACACGAAATGGTGTGCAAGGTCCTCGAGTGCAACGAGTTGCAACGAACCGTCAGTCAGATTTAGACTCTCGACAACGTGTGAGCGAATCGAGCATCGACATTACGCTCTCGTCCCGTCTTGTCGTCCTCCAGCCTGACCATCTGCTCCGGTTCCGCAGCCAACCACGGCAAGGCAAAATCCAACGGCTCTGGTCCCCATTGGCGCTGGGTATTTATGTATTTCCCCCCTTCCACTATCCAGGCTGTCTTAGGTTTGGGCCTAAAACCCCGCAAAAAGGTACAGATGAGCGTCGAGGTTGGGCAAAGTACCTTTCCATACAAATATGTGCGTGGAGTTACCTTTCCCCAGCCGCCGTGACATGCCAATTACCGTGCCCGCAGTGCGGCCATGCCCGCTCAGTGTTTCTTGCCCTGCCCACCGCGGGCCTTCCCCCAGAATATGAGCTCGACTGCTCCACTTTGCTGCCGTCCTGAGGTAAACTTCCCCGCCACTTCCCGGTGCCCAATTCCCTGATGCCGCTGCCGTCGCAAGACTTGCGCGAAGAGCCTCTGCAGCTCATCATCAATTCTACCTAACTCAATCTAACCTCCGGCCCCATCTACATCTTCCTCCTCCCTCCCGCCCACCGTTCGCCAAACATATCATGAACGGCATCGACATCCTTTGCGATGCCGCCGGCTCTGACATGCTGAACCCCCTCTATTCCCCGCCGGAACTGCCGAAACAATCGGCCCAACCTTTATCCCAACAGCCCGGGAAACGCAAACTGAGCACATCCGACACCTCTCCCTCTTCGACACATGTGTGTCATATATGCAAGCGTGTCTACGAGCGGGCCGATCATCTGACGAGACATCTACGCTCTCATGAGAATGCTCGTCCCTACCAGTGCTCCCGCTGTCCCAAGCGATTCAATAGAGCCGACCTCCTCACCCGTCATGAGACAACCCACGACCGAGATAATACAGGCAAGGGTAGAACCTTCATACGGAGGAGCGATCGGGCTGCCGAGGCGTGCCTGAATTGTGCCGCTTCCAAGTCAAAATGCGAGGTAACCCCCCCCCCCCCTCCTTTCCTCCGGGAAAAACTATAGTCCTGCCCAAAAGTACCAGTAGGCTGATACACTTGTAGGATGCCAAGCCATGCTCTCGCTGTCGATCCAAGAATTTACCATGCGAAGTCCCCTCGAAGCGTACGCATCCTCACCGGACGTCAATCGATGGCGCCTCCAGCCCTTCCGAGACATCAACACTGCATATGAGCGTCGACATGAACGGCAGCATGGACACAGGTTCCGTTTATACGGCCTCCAAACTGGTCATGATGCCACCAAACCCCGATATGAGCCATGATCTGGACGCATCCTCTTACATGGACGATGGCTTTTCGAACCCTGTCATGGACATGGTGATGGACGATATTGTCAACTTCAATCCAGTACACACGTACTTCCAGGACATGGACTTTTCCTCATGGGACCTGAACTTTGACGCCATAACCATCCCACAACCTGAGATCAACCAAACCCCCGAGTCCACTACAACCAGCCGGTCAAAATCAAACACAAGAAATGCATCAAAGGCACACGCGGCCTTCAAACGGTCGCCTTGGCTGTGGGAGCCGGGGCCAAAGGATTACGCGCTGCATCACGCGTCACCGCAGGACAAGGAGCAGCTCATTCTTGACAACGGCACCTTTGCTAATTCCCCCGCTTTCGATAAGCTCATCAATACTCCGGGCACGAAGCTAAAGATGACTTCCCTCTCAAGAGACAGTCTTCTGGCCATGGTGGTAGCTAGCACAGTCTCGAAAGGCGGTCGCACACGTACACCATCTTTCCCTTCTTTGGATCTCCTGAATTACCTCGTGCAAGCCCATTTCATCCACGATGAGCACCAGAGCGACAGTTGGATTCATCTGGCGACGTTTGATGCTGCTGCTGCTATTCCAGAACTACTTGCTGGTATTCTGTCCAGCGGTGCTACATATATTTCCATTCCTGCTGTGTGGCAGTTCGGGTTCTCGCTACATGAAGTGCTCCGGCTTGGGCTGGCAGATTTGGTAAGTCGACAGCCCCTTTGACCATCCGCCTTGCAGCAAATTATCTTGTTAATATTGTCTAGTTCGAAGGCTCAAACTCATTCACGCGAGAACTGGCGGCTCTCCAAGCATTCATGCTCAACCTAGATATTGGCATCTGGAGTGGCTTCAAGCGGAAGATGGAAATTGCGGAGAGCTTCCTGCAGCCCCCGATGACTATGCTCAGACGTGCAGGAAACTTCTCGGCCCCACCAGACTCTTCGGCTATGATCCCGATGATGACAGACTCCCCCGAGGTCCTGGACTCGAAGTGGCGCAAATTTGCGAAGCGTGAATCCTACAAACGCCTTGTTTTGCATATGTTCTTTCACGATATTCAAACTTCTATCGGGTTCTGCAAAAACCCACTAATGTCTTACACCGAACTCAACTTCAGCCTTCCTGCTTCTCGAGATCTATGGAGAGCACGATCCGCTGAGCAATGGAGGAACGTGTATGTCGCCAAAACAAACGCAGCCCCAGACCGCATCATCCCACGTGTATCAGAAGTGATGCACTGCACTGAAATTCTGGACGAATTCGACCAACTGGTCGATACAGAATTGTGTTACATGGCCTTGCTGCATGGCTACTGGGGTCAAATAGCGGCATATCGTGAAGCCATCAAGTTCTATGCCGATGGTCTCTCGAGCAAGAGGAATGCAACCCACCGCCTGTGGCTCAAAACACAGTATCAGGAGCTCTACCGAGATTTGAACGACTTTTCAACCATGATCCTCACATCAAAGCGGCCCACAGCTCAACTTGCAGTCATGTCAGAGCTTCTCATGATGCTCCTACACGTCTCTCCCGACATCTTGCAGACGTTTGCTGGCAAATCGGGAGAGGACGAGGCCCGTAGGACGTATACCAGCCTGGAAGACAGCTGGGTAAGGACGTCCGAGGCACGTTACGCGATATGGCATGCTGGTCAGATTTTTCACCATGCTCGCCAGCTTCCACCTGCGTCGCTACGTGAATTCAACGCCATCGCCGTGTACTACGCATGTCTCACGCTATGGGCATATGGGTTGCTATCATGTTCGGCATCTAGACATGGTTCCGACCAAGACATTGGCAACGGCATGAGCACTAGCAGGTCTACGTCGGGATACACGCTGATGGATTCGGACGAAAACCGGGACACCAGAGCTTTTCTCCAGCTTGACCGCGGAGTACCTGGCATCACCATCAACGGAAACCCTGCCGATGGCGTGGAATCGCTTTCAAATCCGAGCGTGGTTCTCTCTATCGCGAGAGACATTTTCCGGAACAATTTCCCTGTGGTTTCGGAGCCTTTACCGCCCTTGGTCGAGAGTTTACGGAGCCTGTTGCATGACCTTGGCTCGGGGGCAGCAGGGCGACCTTCGCGGGCTGGGAGCTCGGATTTGTCATAACTTTCTGCAATGTACTTATCTCGACATTACTTGGCTTGTATATCTTTTGGAATATTGGAAATTTTCTGGCAACACGGCGGTGTTGCTGAAATAGTGAGTGACGCAAGTTTAACTCGAACGGATGATCAATGGCATGGGATGGTGTTTATGGAGCAGGCATAGCGGTAGCAGCCACATGTATTTCACCGATTGATTATAGTAACCTCATTGTATGTGACGAATGATCTGAGAAACATCCTATGTGCCTCTAGAAAATGTATCTGACTTCATGAGCTCACAAGTGACAGAAGTACTTTATCTACAGCAACTCGGGATGTGTCCTTCGCCCAAGCTCACAGGTGATGGTGCGGTAGGCGTCTATGTGGCCCCGCATTCCACGGCACCGGGGACGTCTGGGGGGCCGAGTGGGGGCACGTGCGTCGTTCCGGGCGGGTTGACGACACTTGAACGGGCACCTCGATGGGCGGAGGAAACGTTTAAGTACGTTGGCTGAGTTTGGTGGCCTGAATGTGGACGAGTTCCTCGAGTATGGTTCGACTTACTCCGTGGCAAAGATTCCACCGTTTGGCTCGCGGTGTAACTTGTCTTAGCCTATTGTACGTATCAGCTGGCTTCCGGCTGTTATTCAAAGAGAGTAGCGTTGCGAGATATACTACGACGTGGATTGGTGTGACTATATTGACGGATTCGAGGATATTGTTGATTGAATCAACGGCGGCGTGTTCACCTTGTAAAATGACCTTTCGGCTGAATGAGTTTGTCTCAAAGCCACGATGCTGGAAGATATGGTTGTCCTGCTTAGAGGGCTTCGTAATCTGCAAGCCCAATCAAGGCATCTGTAGTACTCGGCAGCGACTATTATTTCAAACAAGACTCACTGAATCTTCTCTCCTGGTACGGGAAGAGCTGGGTATCCATAAAAAGTGAAGACGGACGAGTGTTAAGTTTCGTGAGTAGCCACATGCTGGAGAGACGGACGGAAGTTTGACATGACACCGCCAACGTGGGTAGGTAGCTACAACGCAGTCCTGATTCCGTAAAGAATACATTATGAGGAACAGCTTATCATGAACATGGATTGAAAGACGTCTATAGTCTCGAAGTTGGCGCTCCCATAACTAACGCGGGAGGCGTCTGTCACAGCATCTCACACCGAGGGTAGCCCATACTTTATTTGCACAGGACAAGGTTCAGAATTCCATATTACAGTCATAGATATCCCAAGGGTCTTGAGGCTATGCCAACTCGCAGGACATGCGATACGAACACTTCAAGTCCCGCTCCTTAGCTTCTCGCCACGGCATCTTCATCCTCGAAAATCGAAGCTGAAGTCATACGAACTGACCCAGACTGCGCAATGAACAAGCTCAAGGTCTATCATTCGATTTCCAACGCATCGAAAACATTTCCCGAGGCGCCGTCCCCGCTTGATTTTCACCTGTTGAACACATGCTTCCCTGGCTTAGTCCTGGCATGAACTACGTATAAATGCTCGACGAAATCCGCCTCGTCATCTCGCACAGAAGAAGGGAAATCCGCAAAGAGTGTATGTTGGATGAACTCTACGAGGACACTGCACAGAAGTTCCGGTATGGAAGTATACTTGGCTGAAGATTATCTCGTAGGCTTGACTGTCATGCTTTACTGAGATGGGATAGATACATCAAAGTTCAGCACTGCCCCTTCCAACCCCCGGTTCTCTCGCCGGCTCAACATCAGCATGCCATACTATACCTCACAAACACCGCTTGAGACGCAAACTCATCGTTTATCGGCATCCTCTTATGCCTACACGCCAGGATGTTCGTGCCTCCCAAGTCCTCAGCCAAGTCCGCACTCTCCACCATCGGCCATCGAGAAGGGGACACACAAGGGGACCTCACACAATGCGCGTCATGATGTAGAAACAATAAACCTACCGTCCTGAGGCCCATACAGCGAAGAGAAATGCCTCCGTTTCCCATCAAAAGCCGAGCAGGTCATGGTCACCCTGTCCGGAACAGCCTGGAATTTCTGGCTCTTATAAGCCAGAGTTTGGCGGATAGTCATGGCTCTCTACGGTTTCGTCTGCTTCTAATGCCGTGTTCCGAAGATAGGTCTGAGTAAAGGTATCTGCCCAGCAAGAGGGGCTTGCCGGACTAGCACTATTCAGGTGCGGATGTTTCCCATGTATTAGTGATACGGACAATCTGTAGCGACCTGGAATTCGGGTTGGCGCCCCGAGCTTTGCCTCGTCAAGTATGCATGCATGGCTAGCACTCCGTTCCATCCTGGCATATCATACGATTGGCGAAGGTCACCACGCTGTCATGCCTCTGGCGCGAGTCAATCATGACAGGTAGGTCTTCTACAGATAGGCCGCGAATGATATCGCGATACAGATAACCCAATCGAGTGCAGTAAATTTGGATAGCAGCCAAGCCAATACCTCCGGCCTGGTGCTATATTGTCTCTCAGCATATGGGCAAAACACTCCGCTCGTGGAAATTGCTGGGGAGGAATGTTGTGCAGCATGTCATCACAGCAGTTCTTGAGCACAAGTCATAGAGTTGGCAGAAGAAATCCGTGTATTTCTCCCCAAGCATGGGCGAGCGCTCATCAAAGTCTGACAAAAGACAAGTTCAAAGATAAAGCGAGTATTCCCCATTTCCGATTTGAATGCCAGAAAAAAACCAAATAGTTTTTACGAATTCTGCAATACGCATTCGTTTGTCTCTTATGCTTTCGTCGGGTCGGGAGAGATCAATCTACACACAGACGGACTCAAGTAAGCCACACCGGTAGGGGATTCCTCAAGCCGTCGTCAGGCGGAGGGAAACCGGAGGGATATGAGGGGCGTGATAAGATTTCCGAAACCACGACGGCATTTTGTCCCAAATTTCACCATTTTCGCCAACCACCCTTGAACTTGATTGTCCCGTCGATTCCACCCTCATGCCAGTGGCCCAGACGTTCCTAGAGTCGTATCGAATGCATGTGGGAAGAGGAAGGCGCTTAGGAGGTAGGGTTGGGGTTCATCTACAAAGCAGCCATAGTTAGTCATCTGGGGTCATCGAGAGAGATGGGACTCGTTATCAAAATCGTACCTTGCGCTTGCCTCCGGTGAGGGTGACGTTGACGAAACGGCGGGTGTATGTGAGTCTCTTCTTCGCGCGGCCCTTGGGGGTCTTCTTCTTCTCCTGAGGCTCAACCTTGGGGCTATTGCAGTGGTCAGCGATCACGGTTCGACATTTCATCATTAAAAATAACACGGTCCGTCTCCCGGTCGGTCGTCGTTTCGATGGAGATCAAACCCCCCCGTCGTAGATCGTCGAATGAGTAGTGTTGTTGTCCCTTCTCTTTCCCGACCAGCATTCCCCCTCATCGTCGTCCGTGGTGACCAAAGTTTTCGTCGGTTTGCCACCCTCGATTCCCAGATGCACGGGGGGTATTTTCTGTTCTCGCGGATAAGAAAGAAGACTTACGTCTGAGACTTGACCTTTCCGGCACGCGCCAACGATCCGTGAACCTTTCCCATTGTGGCGGTTTGAGTTGCTGCTGTGGTGTTTCGGTGAGTTGGTTGTCGATGCAATCGAGAAGCGGGCTTGTCGTCTTCTGCGCGGGCAATGGGCGTCGGATTGCGTGGGAGGGTTGCGGGCCTGGACAATTTTGGGGGTTCGGTTCGTAATTCTGTGCGTCACGTGTGGTGAGTGGAGAAGGAACAGGGCGGGCGAGGGGGCTTGCCTTCTTTTTTGTACTCAGCCAGTCACCTTCCTTCATTTGCCTCCGCCCCAATCCGGAAGAGGTGGTCCGGGCGGAAAATTCGGCCTTAGGGGTTATCAACACAACAACATGAGCCACGCTCAGCACTCGGTGGTCTGAGCTCTTGCAGTGGCGCTGGCGAGATGAATCATCGGCGAGCAACGCCAGCTGAACAACGTTCGTCGTAGCCTGTAGGTAATACTGGTGGACACGAGTAGCTAGGAGACATGACTGACCACGGTGACTCAGGATGCCAGTTGTGTTTCCGCTATGACTGATAGAAGGATCTATTGTGCTAATCAACCAATGTTTGATGATGTTCGCTTTCCCCTTACGCCAACTTTTCCGTTATCCATCTTCGCAGCCGTCCAACATTCGTACTCTACAGGGTATCTAGACATGTTCTCGTGTGTATACATCGGATCTTTCTCAATTGCTCAAGCATTGTTGAGTCCCGAAGAACCCCACATCTGTTCTTCGCTCTTGGGGTCGGCGCAGTATCCATTGCAGGCCAAGCACTTATCCAACTTCTTGGACAGCATATCTTCCAACGATGCCGGGTGGATGATCAGATCCTTCGTCTTCAGGTTCTCGTCCAAGAATACGTAGGGGCCTCGGTAGTCGCTCTGGCGAATCTCGGGAAGGAAGGTAATATTGTGAGGAGTGTTCTTCTTAGCGACCTCAGCCCACGCAGCCTTCACATCGGCTCCAATGTGAAAGTCCCAGGTGCTCTCCCACGATGCCGTTGTCGACAATATCTCGACGGAGTAGCAGAAGACGGCACCTCCAAATTGGTCGGTCTTGTAAATTTCCAGCACCTGCAATGCCGGCATGTGCTTCGCGGCACTGGCGATCGAACGCAGAATGCCATTAACGGTTTCGTGGTCGATACCGTCAATCATCGTGTGGGAGGTAAGCGCAAGTCGGCGGAGGTTGTTCCAGACGGGCTTGCGTGCGAGGAGGCCTTGAAAGAAGGCGGTCGCGTCAGAGACATTCGAGACGGCCATCTCCTCGGCCTGCAAGCTGAGAAAGCCCAAATTGTGACCAAGGCTGGGGCATGAGGTTCGGGCAACGTCGCCTCCTTCTTCCGCACCGTCGGGGGGTATGGGGAGAGCAATGTCTCCACCGGTTGGGTCGGCGTCATTGTCGTCGACAGACTCAGCATCCTCCCATTCGGCTTCCGGGCCATCGTTGAAAGCATCGAAATGCTCAAAAATGCTAATTCGCTTAATGTGGGAAGGCCAGAAAGGGAAAGTACG